CCCTGTACGAGGGACGAGGAACTGCAAGGGTAAGTTATTAACAGGCAGTTCACAGGTAATCAATGCAACTATGATAAAACAAATACGCACAACAACCTATGCAAATTCATAAAAAATGTTGCCCTGAGAAGGAAAAGTGAAGACCTTACCTTTTCCCCTTAACTGTAAATGACTGCTGAACTACAGGTTTCAGTGTTTCACTTTTCATGAAAACTATAATTACATGAAAAACATCGTTAAAAAAAAAGTAAGAAAAGAAGTTGATCCCCTATCTAAACTACTAATTTTAAAATTATTTTCTTCAGAGAGGGAAATTTTAAAAAGGCTTAGGCGAGAAGTCACCTTCAAAAGAAATATAGATATAATCTATAAGTAGTAGAAACTAACAGCTGCTTCTCTACAACAATAACTCACTGCAAAAACACATCCCAGCTGCCAAACCAACTGCCCAAAGACAGCATTTAAAAGTGAACCAGGTACATACAAAATGGGGAACTCACTGAAATTGCTTGGTTTTAATTTGTTATTATAAAAAGTTTTGTTCTGAAATGAGTATCGTCTGGGTTCTGCTTTTTAAATATATATAATTTTGGTTGTGTTGTGTATCAACATGCTCAAATTAATCAGAAAAATCTTTAAAAACCAGAAGAAAAAAATTATTTATTAAATAATAATAAACCTTCTTGGCTAGCTGGTGATTCTTGGCCACTGATTGATGAAAGAATTTTTGACAACTGTTCTTTTGTCAAATAACTTGCATCTTTAGTAGGAGATCTCCTCTTTGTACTAGGAGTTTTTTTCTCCTTCAAGAAATCATCATTGATATCTCTATGGTGTCCCATTGGCACAGACTTTGTCATATCATTTTTCTGTCTCTGGTTAGCCACTGTAACTTCCTTCCTTCCAGTATTGGCATGAGAAGACCACAATTGAGCATGAGGATTCTTTGAAGTGTACACTTTAGAGTTTTGTTTTCTCTGAAAAAAAGAAAAATCATGTAAAAAATACGTCAATATCATCGTATAAACAATTTTATTAAGTCAAAAAAAATAGTGTTTGCGATATTTTAAATTATCAATCCTATGTATAATATAATTTATTATTACCAAAAACGACAAGGGAAATAATATTGGTCCACATATTGCTGACACTAAACTGATCATGTGCTGTGCATGTACAACTGTTGCAGGCAAATCAAAACGACAAAATTTCATTCGTGACTCACATTCATATCAAACTATTTTTAAAGGTTAACTTCACTCCAAATGTACAAAATTGGTTGTTTTCTTTGCTGTTTTAATGATGAGTGCTATTCAACATACAGCTCACTAGACATGGGTACATTCAATATTGCTATTTCTGCAAATGTACTGTCCTCCAAAGAACAATCTGCCGGAACATAATCAGGGTGCAAAGAAATTAAGTCAGTTTTACAGCTTGCCATTCAGGTAAGCTGTAGCTAGCATGTACTAGCCCAAGAGTCATTTCAACTAGCTCTAAAAACTCTTTGATGAACAAGATTGATTACACAGTTCTTCTGTAATTAGAATTTCTCAAAAACTTCACTTGCTCATGGGGCAAGTAAAGAACAAAATTCACCAGCCCAATAGCAAAATCCACTAGCCCTGGGCTATCGGACACTACTTTCTTTGCACGCTGATAATAAGACTTAATATGTGAATCAATGTGCAAACAGTTATATGTGATTCTTACCTTAAGGGTTAAATCTTTAGATCCAGCATTAGATAATGTGGCTAATTAAAGAGAACATGAAAACGAACCATGATAAAATAAATATTGATGGTTAAAAATTGAAATAACAGCAAATAACAATTATTTATTTATATAGCATTGGACTTGTAAGAAATCTCATAATTAATGAATTTGTGACTGTGCTGAGGTTCCACAGCACATGGTGTAAAATTTATGAAAATGCATCAGTTTGCTTTTGTCCAAAAATGCCCTGCACTAACATCCACTGCCTTACCCCTTCCACCCCCCCAAACGTCCAGTTGACATTAAGTGGGGAGAAAGTGAATATGTCAATGCCCCCTTATCCGATCAGCGATGTTGGATTACTGACCCTGATCTGATGATCTGGATCATACCAAAGGCACGTGCCCTATGATATTTTTGCTACCCTTTGTAGGGCTGTGCATTGAAAGTATGAAAAGTATCTCTGCACCATTGGGAGAGTGAGGAGGGTGTCATTTTTTCTTTTGGACAGTACAGGCGTGTCGAAAAAATTATGCTGTGGGGGATATAAAAAAATAATACTTATTTTAAAAATATCAACCAGTATACACAACGAATGCAGAGGTACCTGTTTTACCCTTGGCCTCCCGTTCACTTGCGAAATCAAGCTTTCAGAGTATAAAACGGATGATCAATCGAATTAAGCTTATCAATAAAAGGTTTATATTCATCGATTAACCAACGATTTTCCAGTACACAACCGTTTTTATCGACTGCTAATACAGAATCGTCGATCAACCATCAATTTATCGATTGAAAAGTTGCCGCGTATTTGGTGATTAGTGAGTATAGCCGTGAAATTCTCAAAGTAGCCAAAATACAACTGCCTAAATAAATGTTTTATGCCCGCATGTGCCTCGCACAGACAAAAATACTGCTCATTGATGTCTCCCGAATTTTATGTTTTAGGATAACAAGCTACAGCTGAATATTTCTGACAATAAATAAACCACTAACCTTCGTTTAAAAGTATGTCAAACTTTCCCTTCTCGTTTTTGACTTTAAGCCTGTCATATAAAAATTAACGTGCATAAGTTCTTGTCAGTGAACATCGTGATTGCTCGACATACACCTTCTTGTTTGAACTTCAAAACAAGAAAAACAAACATCAACAACGAAAATTAAAATCCACAGCGATTTCTTACATGGTTTTGGATTCTTCTAGCCTCAAACGACTACAGACAACAGTTATTCATAAAAATAACTACTGTTTTTCGGTATTTGTATTAGTTTACCTAGTTTCGTTGTCGTGATAGTTACTACGTAGTGTAAGCTTAACTACTTTGTGCCAGCGACCTCGTCCCCAGGGCTTTTCCCCATTAAGGCCAAGTTACAAAAGTCCGGCTTTTTTTAGGATTTTTATAGACTTCCTGAAAGTCGGTCGCTGCGCGATCTCGTTGAAGCTCGCTTCGCTCACTAAGAACTTATGATAGGTCGACTTGTAGCAAGTCTAGGATTTTTAGAGTCAAAATGGAGTTTTAGAAAATTTTTCGAAATTTTTAGGATTTTTAGACAATAACATTTAGAAAAATACAGTTGTCATGTTTTTGGCCTCGGTTGTGCCACATGACATGTCAAACTCTTCTCAGTGCTCATTGTGCGATTATCGGAGGCGAAACGAAGAGTGGAGGCCAAGTGTATATTCAAGGTTATACAATTTAATTGTTAAAGGAGATTACATGAGCAGGGCCTAAGGTCAACTGAACTATTGTACAATCATATCAGGATATATAAGTCGAGCGTGGTTGCTAAGTAAGAGGATTAAGGGCTAATCCCACATCCCCCTTTCTAGACATTTTGGTACTTCTATAAGAATGTCTCTGCGCAAAGTTCTTTAATGATAGGAAGCGAGTCAATCAAGAATTTCGATCACTAAACGAATCACTTATAACAAATGTTCTTTCAGTCCTAATCAAAACCTAATCTCTTGGGCGGGTTAACTTTTCTTCCGGAACGAGTAGTGTTTCCTGGAACGGGAACTGGAATAGAAGACTTTTGAGCAGACCGTAAAGGATCTTTCTCCTCTGCTGGAACAGGTGGCTGATCCTTAGAAGTTTCAGGAGGATCGGGTAAAGGGCTTCCTGCTACGTACTTTGCTTCTTTAGGATTTGGATTGAGCTGCAGTCTGTTTCTTCGAACAGTTGCGTTACTGTCAGTGTCGAGGTAATAGGAACGTGGCTCTGGTGTTTTGGCTACTACCACCGCGTTCTCTTTACGATCAGGGATATAAACAAGATCGCCTGGTGACAGATGACTCAGCTCTTTAACTGTATGTCGTCGGTTGTAATCTTTTGTTTGCTCGGTCTTAATCTTGCCTTCCTTTTCACGCAATTTCGTTAACTCAGGCCATTGCGGTGTTAGTTTAGATGGGGTAGTTGGAAGGGTGGTGCGTAGTCGCCTTCCCATGCATAATTCGGCTGGGCTGAATCCGTTTTCAAGTGGGGTAGCTCTGTAAGCGAGTAGTGCTTCATATGGATCGTCGGATTTTGTGAGGAGGTTTTTAGTTGTTTGCACCATACGTTCGGCTTCTCCGTTGCTTTGGGGGTATTTTGGACTGCTGGTAATGTGTGTAAATCCCCAGTCTTCTGCAAATTTGGCGAATTCCGCTGAGGAATACTGTGGTCCGTTATCGGAGATCACGGTTTCTGGAATTCCATGGCGCGCGAAAATCGCTTTTAGGTGATTGATCACTTCTTGGGAGGTGGATTTTCGAAGTACTCCAATTTCACAATATCGCGAGAAGTAATCTACCACGAGGACGAATTCCTGTCCTTTCCATTCGAATGGAATGGACGCTCAGGTAACTGTGAAGGAATCATGGGCTCTGCACGATTAGTTTTCGTCTTGATGCAAGTAGGGCATTCTCTGACAAGATCTTCTATCTGCTTGCTGAGATTCGGCCACCAGACACCACTTTTCGCCCATTCGCGGCATTTCTGGATGCCTTGATGACCTGTGTGTATCTTGTCTAATACATCGAGCCTTAACGCTGAGGGAATGATGACTCTGTCGTCTTTCATTAGGATTCCCTGCTGAACAGTGATTTCTGCTCTGTACTGCCAGTACGGTTGGAGTGAACAATTCAGGTGATGTTTCTCTGGCCAGCCTTCACTGCAGAACAGCTTAAGCTTTGAACAAACTTCATCTTCATCCTGATGAAGGCGTATTTCTTGCAAGCGGCGCTCTGTAGTCGGCAGGCATTCTACTATGTGTGAGACATAGAGGTTTAAATCTTCATTAAGTTGCTTCTCGTCTTTCGTGAGACTTCGGTGAAGCGGCGCTCTTGATAAGGTATCAGCTGTGGTGAGATCTTTTCCGGGTACATGGACTATTTGGTACGAGTAGCGCATCAGTCGCATCCGGAACCTCTGAATACGCGGTGGCATGTCCTGGAGACATTTAGATCCTAGTAACGGCACTAACGGCTTGTGGTCCGTTTCGATAAGGAACTCTTTACCGAGGACAAAGTCGACAAACTTTTCGCAAGCCCAAGTAGGTGCGAGTGCTTCTTTCTCTATCTGAGCGTATCTTTGTTCGGTAGACGTCATGGAGCGCGAAGCGTAGGCGATTGGCTTCTTTGTGTCATCCTCTTGGACTTGTAAGAGGACTGCTCCTAATCCATACGACGAGGCGTCTGCAGATATAATAGTTTCTTTCTCGGAGCAGTAATGAGCGAGAACTGGCGCTTGAGTCATTTCTTTCTTCAAGCGAGAGAAAGATTCTTCTTGAGCTTGGCCCCAGTGCCATTCGTTCTTGCTTGAAAGAAGATCGCGAAGAGGCATAGTCTTCTCGGACAGGTTTTCGATGAACTTCTGTTGGTGGTTGATCATTCCCAGGAATCTTCGTAGTTCTGCAACATTTTGCGGTCTCTCCATCTTTTCGATAGCTGCAGTCTTGTCTGGATCGGGGCCTATTCCTTGAGCGCTGAGACTATGGCCCGCGAACGTCAATTGTTTCCTTGAAAATTCGCACTTCTCTGGGTTCAGGGTGATTCTTGCTCTAATCAATCTTGTTAAAACTGCTTCAAGTCGTTCATCGTGTTCTTTTTGCGTCTTTCCATGCACAAGGATGTCATCCATAATGCATATCACTCCTTCCAAACCTTCCAGCTCGTTTAGCATTCTCTTTTGGAATCGTTCTGGTGCTGAGTTTAAACCAAAGGGGAGTCGCTGAAAACAATATCTGCCAAAGGGAAGTCAGGAGTTGAGAGTTTTCTGCTAGCTTCTCCTGCCAAAACCCGGAATTTGCGTCAATTTTTGTGAACACTGTGGACTCTCCAATCTCCCCTAGCAAGGCGTCAATCTTTGGAAGTGGATACGTTTCACGGCAAACGTTTTCATTTAGCTTTGTCAGATCCACACATATTCGGAGTTTCCCGTTTGACTTAGGTACGGTGACCATTCCAGCGCACCAGTTTGTAGGCTTGTCAACCTTTCTGATTACTCCCAGCTTCTCCATTCTAGCAAGTTCTTCCTTTACTTTGCTTTTCATTGGTAATGGAATACGTCTTGGGGTCATGATTGCGAACGGTTGAGCGTCTGGCTTCAACTTGATTTCATATTCTACCTCGTCATCAGTCCGAGTCACTACGGAGTTACATGAGAAGCATGCGCATGCTTATCTGGTCATTGCAGTGCTGCTATCCGGTCAGTCAACACGGGTGTTACTGCACGGAACAAAATTTTTGGTCTTTACGACAATAACCTTTTACGGTTCATCCTACCTAAATCTCTGCAGTAAGCCTGATACACATAATTGTCAGGAATCGCCGTCTGTGAGTATTTTTTGTTTAGAATTCGCTTTTGTGCCTAACCCTCTTTCCCGCCAGATTAGATACCGCACAATGGCGAGCAATCAGATTGATACTGGCGCTCCTGCGCTTTCTTCTCAGGGCCCACCGGACGCATATCCGAACCCACCGGGTCAAGATCGAAATATTGAGTCCGCCCTGAGGCAAATCAACACCAACATGGGCACGATGACTCGACTTTTAACCGACGTGTGTGCGCGCCTTCCCACGACCGGGGCACACCGAGCGGCTAGTTCCTCTTGCCGAAGCCCACCGGGCACAAGGCACACAGGCCAAAAACGGCGGTCCGATTCCATCTCCTCCGTTGAATCATCAGACAATGAACATGAGCCGCGGCGAAAATCGAGGAGAGAGGACGATTCCCTAAGCCTGCATGCAACAGATGATGACGTTGCACAACTATTTGCCGACCCGGCATCAAATCCCGCAACTGTCACCGACAACACGGATACAGCGGGCGAGGACGAGTTACTAAAAGAACTTGTAACCTCCTTACAAGAGGAAGACGCAAAAGGGCCAAAAGTCCAACAACAGCTGGCCGAAATTGCCAACAAAAGATGGGGCAATAAGCTCAATTCGGACAAAATAAATAGCATTCTGGGCAAACACCCGCAGCCAGAAAATTGCGAGGAACTGGGGATCAAACGCGTTAATCCTGAGATCTGGGCGTCCCTAAATGCTGCCAAAAGAAAGGCAGATTTACGACTCGCAAACATGCAGCAGGCCCTGCAAAAAGCCACTTTCTCGATTGTCACAACTTGCGATAAACTTTTGGCCGTAAAATCGCAAATTGAGACAAAGGAAATGGTCACCGACAGTATTGATGCTATCGCTCTTGTCGGACATGTGGTCTCCGAGATCTCATCTATAAGGCGGGAACAGCTCAGGCCATCCTTAAAGCCCGAGTTCCAAACAATTTGCACCAACGACGTGCC